TTGTTGGCCACAGAGACGTAGGTGCCCTCCTGGCACACCAAACATTCGGCCTCCCATCTTTCCCGGCCCATGCGGAAGCAGGGATACTTCGCCTGGAGCTCGTCGGTGAACTTGCATTTCCGTTTCGGCATGGTACGAGGCAGAAGGTGCTCGGCCTGGGGGGGAAACCAGAGGAGAGGGAAAATTTGAACAATTTTTACGCTGTGCCAAGGATGCAAATATCCCAGAGGAGCTCCTCTCCCACCTCCTACCTGTCACCCGGGTGGGGATGCTCGGATGCGCAGCAGCACCGTAAATGAATCCCAGATCCTGAAAAAGCCCGAACGTAAGAGCCTGTCCTGAACAGGCGCAGGGTGCGGGAAGCTGGGGCGAAACGGGGGAGCGTGGCTCAGCGCTCACGATGTTCCTCCTGAAACGGGGAGCACGGCTCACAGCCCATAATATTGCCCCCCAAAATGGAGCCAGTGCTCATGATATTCCCCACTCAAAATGGGGAGCACGGCTCAGTGCACACGATAAAAGGAAAAAAGAGGGGGGGAAAAGAATAAAAATAGGAGGAAAAGAAGGCAAGAAGGGGGGGGAAGACGGGAGGAAGGGGGGGAAGAAAGAAAATAGGAGGAAAATAAGGAGGAAAGAATAAAAATGGGGGAAAGGGGAAGAAAATGGGAAAAGAAAGAAGGGGGAAGAAGCAAAGAAGGGGGAAAGAAGGAAAATAAGGGGAAAAAAAGAAGGAAGCAGGAAAAGAAGTAAAGAAGGAGGAAAAGAAATAAAATAGGGGGAAAAGAAGAAAAATAGGGGGAAAAGAAGAAAAATAGGGGAACAAGAAGAAAAATAAGGGGAAAAGAAGAAAAATAAGGGGAAAAGAAGAAAAATAAGGGGAAAAGAAGAAAAATAAGGGGAAAAGAAGAAAAATAAGGGGAAAAGAAGAAAAATAAGGGGAAAAGAAGAAAAATAAGGGGAAAAGAAGAAAAATAAGGGGAAAAGAAGAAAAATAAGGGGAAAAGAAGAAAAATAAGGGGAAAAGAAGAAAAATAAGGGGAAAAGAAGAAAAATAAGGGGAAAAGAAGAAAAATAAGGGGAAAAGAAGAAAAATAAGGGGAAAAGAAGAAAAATAAGGGGAAAAGAAGAAAAATAAGGGGAAAAGAAGAAAAATAAGGGGAAAAGAAGGGAGGGAAGAAATAAAACAGGAAAAAAGAAGGAAAATTGGGGGGGAAGGAGGGCGAAAGTGGAAAAGAAGGAAAGAAGGGAGAAAAGAAAATGGGAAAAGAGGGAAAAGAAGAAAAATAGGGAGAAAGGAAGGCAGGCTGTGGGAAAAGAGCAAAACCGGAGGGAGGGGCGGGGCCAGCACCCGGGGGGGGGACGACGACGACCCCCTGTGCAGCACCGTGCACCCATGGCTTAACCCCCCCCCAAAGTGCAGCACCCAGCACCCAGGGGTGGGGAGCATCCCCTATGCAGCACCCACGGGTGGGGGCACCCCCAATGCAGCACCCAGGGGTGGTGGACATCCCCCGTCCAGCACCCAGGGGTGAGGGCACCCCCTCGTGCAGCACCGTGCACCCATAGCTTACCCCCCCCCTCAAGTGCAGCACCCAAGGGTGGGGGCACCCTTCGTGCAATGCCCAGCACCCAGGGGTGGGGGCCACCCCCGTCCAGCACCCAGCACCCAGGGGCGGGGGACAGCCCCTGTGCAGCGCCGTGCACCCACGGCTTAACCTCCCCCCCCCCAAGTGCAGCACCCAGGGGTGGGGGGCACCCCCTGTGCAGCACCCAGGGGTGGGGGCTCCCCCCGTCCAGCACCCAAGAGTGGGGGGCACCCCCCGTGCAGCACCCAGGGGTGGGGGCAACCCCTCATGCAGCGCCATGCACCCACGGACCAACCCCCCCCACGCAGC